CTCCCGTCCCGGAGCGCGCCCCTGGGATCCCCCGCTGGCCAGAGGATTAGGGTGCGCCGGTGGTTGGGGAAGCCAGAGGGGCAAGGCAGTAAGCATCTGAGCAGCGGACAGTCAGTTCCCGAGGAGGCGCGCTGGGCACAGGGCGCTGGTTCCCTCTTCCCTGGGCTTCCCGCTGGGAGGCAGGGACAGCACGGGCTGCCTCCAGGTGTCACAAGAACAGAAAGCCGCCTAGACCTGAGAGCTGGTTCTTTTTACGGACTCCTGACCCTGGCCGTCCGTAAGTCAATGGACAGCACCAGGAGCAGTGGTCCTTGTTGGGAAGTGAGGGGGCGCAGTCCCACGCAGCACCTCTCCCGTGACCATGTCAATTTTGGAAGCGACACAGAGAGGTCAAATGACTAGTCCAAGAGCGCAACGCACAGTTAATAGGCTGGCCGCTGGTCCGGAGATCAAGCTTGTGACCCCTGTGCTTTGGGATAAAGCGCGCAGCCTCCAGGCGGGCTCTGGCACCCAGGTCTGTGGCTCCAACTCCATCTGCGTTTTGTCCTCACTCCAGCCCTGCCGAGTCCCCTGCGGGCCAAGGTGTAGCAGCACCACTCTCATCTCGTCCACAGAGTCCTCCATGAGCCGTTTGTGAAGGCTCCCTGGTCCTTTCCTCCCTCTACTTTCTTCACAGGAAGCACTGGCGGCCTCACGGCAAGAAGTTGTGCCCTGAACCCAAAGGCAAGTGGTTCAAATCCAGTAACTGCTCGGCTGGAGAGGGGCAGTTTCCCCACGCGGGCATACAACAATTCTCTCCCCAAGTCACACGACCCAGCGCTGCCTGTGGAGAGTCAGAGATCTGGCTAAGGACACTTTCTCCAGGGCCCCGTTGTGGGCAAGTTACTTAGTGTGCCTTTGTTTTCTCATCTGTAAAAGGGGATGATGGATTTGCTTGTGATTCTCCAGTGGGACGATGCCCGTGCCAGAGTGGAGGTGGGCTGCTCTCCACACCTCATTATCCCTCCCCGCTCCCAGCCTCCGAGCAGTCAGGAGAGAGGGGCTGCTTGCGGTTCCAGTGGTTAAAGGGGCAGAAGTCAGCGCTTTGGGCTTGTGGAGAGCATTTGCAGAGCAGGCTTGAAATGATCGGGCGTGGGCACCCCATCTTTCCCTTACAGCTGGCGCTGGAGGTCCTGTCACAGACAATTGGAGGCTGGAAGGACCAGGTTCACCTCCAACCACCTGCAGCCCCTCCAAGTCTTCCCCAGGCAGCGAGAAAGCAGGGCGCCGGCCCAGCGCTGGGACCACGACCCCGGGATCGCAGGCCAGGGCCCTGCGCCACGGCGGACGTTCACCTCCCGGCTCAGCCGCAGGGCGCCCCAGGCAAACGGCTGGGCTCCCAGCGCCTCAGCGTCGCGGCCAAGCCCAGGCGGGTCCAAAGCCCGCCGCACCCGGGTTGAAGCGCTGCCACCACCGAGCCGCGTGCGCATGGTCCTGGAGCGAGGGGACGAGCGATGCTGGCTTGTGTCAGCCTGGGGGACGGGGACGCTCCGGTGGGCCGGGTATGCCGCACGCCGAGACCTTCGAGAGCCGCTGGAGGGCCTTCGTCAGGAGGGGTACATTCACAGGCTTTGCACCCCGAGATTCCAGAACTGGGGCAGGATCCCTCAGGCGCAGGGTGCAGGAAGCAGGTGTCTGCGGCAGGCTGGCACCCGCATTTCCACAAACAAAGAAACGTGGCCGCGAGCGTGGGGAGCGGGGGGTGGGGGGGGCAGCTGCTTAGAGAATCGCCGACGATTTCCTTCATAAAAACGCGATCCTAGAGCATTTGATTTCCACTTTCACTCCCCGCCCTCAGACCAACATGCGCACTCTCCGAAGACACTCAAATTGCAGCCATATGCGGCTGACCGAGAGCAGGCAGTTACCTTATTTACTGCAGAGGCGGCGCACGCCAACCTGCAGCCACCGCAGCCCAAGCGCTGAGCCGAGGCACCGCCAGCCGAGGACTCAGCTTCTCCCAAACTTTGTTGGGTAGGGGAGGTGCAGGTGGGAAGAGCAGGCATTTTTCTTCTGTGAGGGGTTGTGAGGTCGCTGGAAGGCGGTGGCCGGGTTGAGCAGGACAGAGGAGGAAGGAGGCAGGGTCAGTAAGCTGGGGTGGAGTGAATCCTGGTCTGCTTCTTCCTAAGACTGGACACCCCCCGGATCACAGGACTGATGGCACGACCTCCGCGCCAGCGCTCTCTCCCGCAAGACCACCGATGACCACCAATCCAGGACCCCAGCGGGGTTGGTGGTTAGGGACTACCAACGCAATTCACGGTTGCTACCAGTCGCTGCCACCTCTGCCAGTCTCCAACTGGTGGAACAGCATTGGCCCCGAAACCCCTGTGTGTAGCCTCCGCAGTCCCGTGGGCCCCATGGAGAGCTGGGACGTCCCAGGCAGGGATGCGCCTGCCTTCCAGGGGGTCTCTTTGCCCTGGACAGAGCTGGCGGAGGGGAACGCGGTCGGGATGGCGGTCTTCAGATTCTATCCTACTTCCAGTCTCCTTGGGATGGAGTTCCACATTTACCATCAACCCGGTGGGGTTTCTTAGGGTTTGCAAACTCAGGCACCTTCCATGCGATCATTTCGTTTGGAGCAAGATCCCAGTAAGAAGAATCGTCATCAGACACAGGGACCGAAGGGAACAGACGGAGAGGGTGACGGACCTTCCAAATGCCACCCCAGGCCACGACAGGAGGTGCTCACTGCTCCCACTTTTAGCTCCCCTTCCTCCCCTTCCTCTGACACATAGTCAGAGGCAAAGGAGACGGGAAACGGGGCGCAAGGACAGGGACGGGCAAGGGGGTAGCAGGAAAAGGCTTTGTTGTGCACGTTCAGCTTGACCAATGCACGCTGACCCCCCAGCGGTTGTGCAGAGGCGGTAAAATCGCACCGGAGCCCACTGCCTGCCTTTCTCTGAGGGTGGTGGATTTGAACCCCATGTCTTGACGTGGCAGCCCCACTTCTTACCATTAAAGTCACCAGAGCAGAAGGAAGAAAGGGAAAAGGGGCGGGAGGAAAAGAGGACTAAGCTTTGAGTCCCAGCAGGAAACCTCCGGCTGTCGCCGCCCCAAGCCCCGTGGTGCAAACACCCCGACACCCCTCGCCTCGCAGGGGCCCTCGGGCTGGGGGGAGGAGGCCAGCGTCGGGTTAGGGCCCCGCTGCGTCCCCGCTCCTCTTAGGTGGCCCTGAGCAGGCGGGCGCGGGCCCAGGGGCGGCGGATTCGGGGACTGGGGAGGGGGCGGGCGGGCGGGCGCGGCGATCGAGCCCAGAGCGCAGGGTGGGCTTTCTCTGGGCAGAGAAACCAGACCCTTACAGGCGGCTGAAGCCGACTTTATTTTTACTGCCCAAACTGTTGGAAAGTATTTAAGCTTAAACAGAAACAGCTGTATCGCTGGCACAGGCCGGCCAAACTATTTGTTACCGGGAATGACTTTTTATGATTAAGGATGCGGCCGTCGGCGGCCTCTCGCGGGAGGCCCGCGGGGGTCGCCGCTCGCCGTTCGTTGAGACGGGCCGCCTGGGGATGAGCTGGTCGGCCAGGCTCTCCCCGAGGAGTCTGGGAGCCCGGCCAAAGGCCACCCGCGCCCAGGCTCGGGGGAAGCGGCGTCGCCCCCGCGCTGCGGGCTTTGGAGAGGGGCCGGGGCCAACCCTGCACTCAGCCCCCGGCACCCCCTCTGCAGCCTCGGTTCCGTTCACTCCTCTTCCCGGCAGCCCACCCCTGACCGGGGAACCGCTGCGGAGCCAAGCTGGTCATCCAGGTTTTAACTGAGCTGCGCGCCCCTGTGACTCGCAGCTTATGTGACAAGAGAAAGGGCTGGGGGACGGCGGCGGGGACCTGTGCCCTGTGCGCACCGAGGCCACAGCGCGGGCCCTCGCCCTGTGCGCCCGCCGGCCTCGCGCGGAGCCCCTGGGCCACCTCCCGCGCGGTGCCACGGTCGCCGCGCACGTCGGGAAGAACTGGGGACCGGCAGCGGCA